GGGGGAGGGGTCAGGTACCTTTTAAAAATTCTCCAATGTATTCCAATTATGTGTTAAGTACCGACGCCTTCCTTTTGCATCTGCCTCTTTCTATACATGTGAAAGCAAAAACAAAACTAAACCACTACAGCATCTCACTGTAAAATTAATATATGAGTCATCCAGTGGTCAATAACCTATCAAATAATTTTGACCTTTTTTGAATATCGTTAACCATGTGTTCTTGTGCCACCTGTTCTCTTTTTTTGGCTTGTCTCAATCTTTCTTGATATTTATTCCCCAGCAACTCAAGCTCCATGATGTCAGAAGCCTTATTGCGTTCCATTGGTTGTCTCTTGTTTGGAAGTTGGACATCGCGCGACTGATGTCGCGGGTTGTGTGTTAGATTCCGTCTGTCGGAAAAAGCTTTCCGTGAGAATTTCCGACAGCTCGGTTATCCGACTCAGTTCCCCCCCGGGATTGATCCAGAAATTAATTGGAGCACATGGACACGCTCGTAACCAAAACTGTTCTGGAGCCCAAATATTCCAAGCTCGCGTCTGACACGTCTAGAAATATTTTTTCACGACTAGGTCCCCCCACTTCAAAATAGAAGAAAAAGTATTTTGGTGGTGGTCCCACCCACGGTCCCTAGATCGGGACGGGTGATCGTGCCTGTATCATTCAAGATGGGTTGACCCGGTCAAGCGTGGAAATGTGGAGAACATACTTGTCCAGTCTGTTCATCCTCAACGCCGTTTGATTCATGTTCGACGGACGGATTCCTTCAATCCTCTCAACCCTTCATGATAAATGCAGGCGTACAAAAGAGAACAAGTGAAGAAAATGTCCTAGTAGCAAATACAGAGCCAGTACATGCCATGACTATATAGTGGTAAAAGTTCCATCAACCCCCAGAGAGCTGGGTGCTGTGTTTTTATACAGCGTCGGATCTTCTCTCACACTGTACTTCGATTGCTTTAATTGTGCCCCACCTGAGGCCCAAACATTCAGGACAGCCCGCACATGAGTTTGTTTGGATTGTGCGATCTTCCTTTTCTTTCCGTCCTGTTTCTCATTGTTTCTCTTATCTATCTTCTTCAGGATCCACCCATCACCCGGCACTTTGCAGGTACAACCCTCATCAGTTGGCTCTAACAGCTCATGCCTTTGGCATCGCCAAACTGCAGGCGCATCGGAAGTCGGACGCTGGAGCCTTCGACAGAAATTGGTGGCTTTCCTCTCAACTGAAACGCTCATAACAGAAATCCTCTGACGGAAAGGCCAGCTTCACTACTTATACTCTTTTGTATTCTTTATGTGTGTTTTTACGTCTATTTGTTTATCTGTTTACCGTGTCGCATTTCTAGCGATTCTTTAAAATGCTGCTAACTTGCTCTTTCTCCATGAACTCAGTGTCCCACCTTGTGGTTCGTCTGGGGAACACACGCCACGTCGATAGGTTCAAGTGCGTTGTTATAATCATTGGTCAAGCTTTTTGCTTGGGATTCCGTCCTCACATTGCTGTGAGCGTCACAGCCTGCTATTGGCTTGAGTGAATTCTGCATTCAGGACAAAGACATGATGGCAAAAATCGCCAGGCTTATTGCGTGGTGGGCTCAATCGGAAGTGGAGGAGGGTCGCAAATCGAGCAAAAGGTACGGTAAACATTCAGATCTGGATGCTCCACCTGGTTCAAGATCTCTCATGTTCAGGTGGGCTGACAGTCCAATCTTGGGAGGATTCCTGACACAACTTAGCTGTGAGAGGATTGGCGGGATTACCAAGTGAAATCTTGCCAGGTCATCAGGTCATCACGCACCAACTTTCTCAAGCTTTGTGCGGCAAGGTTGATTTGGAGGTGTGCATGTGGGAAAATATCTCCAAAACTCACATTGGAGGATCATTGGAGGCCTCCAGACAATTGCACAAAGAAGACGCATATACCAAATCAATAGACATCCACCGCAAGCTGTCAAATCAACAATACCAATCTGTCAGTTGGAATACAGAGCTCATCACGGATGCGTTCTTCACTCGAGAGAATGAAGTCCCTCAAACGCACTGGGCCAGCTCAGTGGGTTCCACCGCATGCCCCGTTGGTTCGACCGCCGTCTTAGGCCACGGCTCAGTGAGATCACGCCGATGGAACTAGTGCGCCTGGCCCAGGCCAAAAAAAATACGTTTTTGTTGTTGTTGTTGTTTCTTTTTTGAGGGGGGTAACCGTAGGCCGTAGAGGTAGCTAGAGGTAGCTAGTAGTAGCTAGAGGTGGCAAGTACCTTACTTAAGCTACTACTTAGCCTGAGGGCGGGGGGAAGCTTCCTTGAAGACACCCTCGCACTATTCATTTGGTTCCATTTTTTGGAAACTTAACCTCACACATGTGTTTATCAACAGTGAAGAATATAGTGAGAAACGAGATGCAGGGAGTCTACTTGTTCTAAACACAATTTCATTGTGGTTCTATGCATTAGGTTTACACCTTCAAGACTTGAGGCATGAGTTGATCACAGTTGCTAGTGGCAGATCACAGAGTGACTGGGTGTTGTTCACGTCTCGATCTGGTCAAGCTATATTATGTGAGGATGTGTGGGTGTTTGCATTGACTCGGCTATATTTGGCGCACAAATATCATAATTCAACAATTGTTCCCTCTAGTCACGTGTCCTGGGATGGACTGGAGGTTCAGTTACGACCGTGAGCCCATTTGGAGCTTGTGCAGGCCTACGCCAGCACGGAAGTTTGTCACTATACTCTCCTGGCGTGGTCGCCTCAGCGCATGGCAACGCATGACCATCTAGCCACCATGGAGACCATGTGCTCAGTGGGTGCGTTTCCGACAAGGGGCAGAGAATTCGCAAGGAGCAACCAAAAACAACTAGTAACAAGAAGCTATTAGGAACAAGTGCATCGCTTCTAGTAACAAGTGCCTTACTAGTAGTAACAA